GCCATTATTGGGCGTAGAAGCCAAGGAGCGCAACATTTATAAGGAAGCCGGACACTATTCGACGGGAACATGAAGTTTGAAGGAGAACCCACCTTACAACGCCGAAGACAATATATGCGCCGGACTCGTCGTCGCTGAAGCCCGGTTCGGGGGCTACTGAGGGAGTCCCGGACTAGGGAGTGTCCGGATAGCCGAACTATCATCATCGGCCGGACTCCAAGACTTTGAAGATACAAGATTGAAGACTTCGTCCCGTGTCCGGATGGGACTTTCCTTGGCGTGGAAGGCAAGCTTGGCGATACGGATATGTAGATCTCCTACCTTTGTAACCGACTCTGTGTAACCCTAGCCCTCTCCGATGTCTATATAAACCGGATGGCCTTAGTCCATAGGACGAACAACAATCATACCATAGGCTAGCTTCTAGGGTTTAGCCTCCTTGATCTCGTGCTAGATCCACTCTTGTAACCCACATCATCAATATTAATCAAGCAGGACGTAGGGTTTTACCTCCATCAAGAGGGCCCGAACCTGGGTAAAAACATCGTGTCCCTCGTCTCCTGTTACCATCCGCCTAGACGCACAGATCGGGACCCCCTACCCGAGATCCGCCTGTTAACATCAAAATTTTATCTATATCATTTCTTTCATGCATATGCATATCATTTTCATGGTCTAGCCAATATTGTTCTAGTGGATCAGTAGGAGGCACATCAATAGAAGCAAGATCAATTATTTCATCATTACTAGGCAATTCTTTCTTATGAAGTTGTCTATTAAATTTGGAAAAATTAAATTCATGAGACTCATCACCAAAGCTAACACTGACAGTTAGTTTATGTCAATCTATAGTAGCATTGACAGTGTTCAAGAAGGTTCTACAAAAGATAATGGGAAAAAGTCATCTTATGGGGAACCAAGAACTAGAAAATCAGTAGGGTATTTTATTTTCCCACACAAGACTTCAACATCTCTAACAATCCCAAGTGGTGTGATGGTGTCTCTATTAGCAAGTTTAATAGTGACATTTATGTCTTCTATTTCAGTGGGTGCTATGTCATTCGTAATTTCTTGGTATAAGGTAAAGGGAATAACACTCACACTAGAACCTAAGTCACATAAACGATGATAATAGTGATCTCCTATTTTAACTGAGACAACATGCATGCCAACAACAGGTCTATGTTAATCTTTTTCATCGGGTTTGGCAATTCTAGCAACTTCATCACAGAAGTAAATAACATGTCCATCAATATTTTCTACCAAGAGATCTTTAACCATAGCAACACTAGGTTCTACTTTAATTTGTTCAGCAGGTTTAGGTGCTCTAATATGACTTTTGCAAACCATAGTTGAAACTTTAGCATGTTCCTTTATCCTAATAGGGAAATGTGGTTTCTTAATATAAGCAGCAGTAACAACTGGGTCAACATTGTAAATAATAGTTTCATCTTTAGCTATGATCGGTTCTTTAACTTCTTCTTTAATAGGTGGGTGATATTTAAACCACTTCTCCTTAGGGAGATCAACATGAGTAGCAAATGATTTACAGAAAGAGGCTACTATCTCAGAGTCAAGTCCATATTTGGTGACAAACTTGTGAAAAGCATCGGTATTCATAAAAGATTTAACACAATCAAACTCAAGCTTAATACCTGACTCTTTACCTTTGTCAAGCTCCTAGTCTTCAGAGTTGTGTTTAATTCTTTCTAGAAGATCACACCTGAATTCAATAGTCTTCTTCATAAAAGAGCCAGTATAGGAAGTATCGAGCATGGATTGATCATCACGAGAAAGCCGAGGATAAAAATTCTGAATGATAATTTCTCTTGAGAGCTCATGATTGGGGCATGAATATAACATTGACTTAAGCGTCCCCCATGCTAGAGCAATACTTTCTCCTTCACGAGGCCAAAAATTATATATATAATTCCGATCACGATGAACTAGATGCATAGGATGATTTTTTTGGGTGAAATTCCAATTTCAATTGATTCCAATTCCATGATCCAATATCATCACATAGCCTATACCATGTCAATGCTTTTACCTTCAAAAATAAAGGGAAAACCTTCTTCTTAGCTTCATCTCTGGATAAACCTGCAAGCTTAAATAATCCACAAATTTCATCCACATATATCAAGTGCATATCAGGATGTTCGGTTCCATCTCCTGCATAAGGATTAGCTAGTAGTTGTTCTATCATACCGAAAGGAATTCCATAACCAATATTTTCAGTAGGTGCAGTAGGTTGAGGGACAACTAATTGTTGTTCCGGTCGAGGTGAATATACCACGAACAAACCCCTTAAAGGATGACTCTCCATAGTAACAAGTGACAATAAATTTCAGCATATAATAATAATTTTTCCTTACCAATTTCCACTTACCAAGAGTGTTTCACTCCCCGGCAGCGATGCCAGAAAAGAGCCTTGATGACCCACAAGTATAGGGGATCAATCATAGTCCTTTCAATAAGTAAGAGTGTCAAACCCAACGAGGAGCATAAGGAAATGACGAGTGGTTTTCAGCAAGGTATTAACTGCAAGCACTGAAATAGTCGGCAACAGGTAGTTTGATAGCAAGATAATTTGTAACGAGCAAGTAACGGTAAAGATAGATAAAGTGCAGCAAGGTAGCCCCCTTTTGTGTCAAAGGACAAGCCAAAACGGTCTCTTATAATAAGCAAAGCGTTCTTGAGGGTACACGGGAATTTCATCATATCACTTTCATCATGTTGGCTTGATTCGCGTCGCTACTTTGATAATTTGATATGTGGGTGGATCGGTGATTAGGTGTTGTTCTCACTTGAACAAACCTCCTACTTATGATTAACCCCCTCGCAAGCATCCGCAACTACGAGAAAAGTATTAAGATAAAATCTAACCATAGCATTAAAATTTTGGATCCAAATCGGTCTCTTACGAAGTAGCGCATAAACTAGGGTTTAAGCTTCTGTCACTCTAGCAATCCATCATCTAATAACTACTCCACAATGCATTCCCTTAGGCCCTAATAAGGTGAAGTGTCATGTAGTCGACGTTCACATGACACCACTAAGGGAAGCACAACATACACATCATCAAAATATCGAACACATATCAAGTTCACATGATTACTTGCAACATGACTTCTCCCGTGACCTCAAGAACAAAAGTAACTACTCACAAATAATAATCATGCTCAAGATCAGAGGGGTATTAAATAGCATAATGGATGTAAACATATAATTTTCCACCAAATAAACCATATAGTAATCAACTACAATATGTAATGAACACTACTAGTCACTCACAAGCACCAATGTAAGGTTCTGGTACAAAGATTGAACACAAGGGATGAAATAGGGTTTGAGAGAAGTTGGTGATGTTGAAGACGTTGATGGAGATGCCCCCCCCCAAAGATGGGAGAGTTGTTGGTGATGATGATGGCAATGATTTCCCCCTCTAGGAGGGAAAGCGGAATCGCTTCGCCGGAGGGCAAAAGTGCTCCTGCCCAAGTTCCGCATCGAGACGGTGGCGCTTCGTCCCGAAAGTCCTCCCTTATTTTTTCTAGGTCAAAATGACTTATATATCAGAAGAGGGGCACCAGAGGTGGGCCGATGAGGGCACAACCCACCAGGGCGTGCTTGGGCTCCCTGACGCGCCCAGGTCGTTTGTGCCCACCTGGTGGCCCCCCTTTGGTAGTTATTTACTCCAATAATTCTTGTATATTCCATAAAAAAAATCCGTGAAGTTTCAGCTTATTTGGAGTTGTGCAGAATAGGTAGCGCTGACGTGCTTTTTCAGGTCCAGAATTTCAGTTGTCGGTATTCTCCCTCTTTGTGTAAACCTTGCAAATTATGAGAGAAAAGGCATTAGAAATACTTCCAAAATCATTATTATGCATGAAAACATTATAAATAACAGTAGAAAAACATGACGCAAAATGGACGTATCACCCATCACGGCGACCGAGGAGAGGGCGGCTGGGGGAGGATCCCTGCGGACCCCGACCCTTGCGGAGGCCTAGGCCCATGACCATTCATTGCCCATGGAAGGACGCCGCTGCCGCCTCGACGGGTGGCTTGCCAAGAGTGGCAATGAGTGGTCGCTTAGTGACACTTCCACCGCCACCTGGACGAGGAGCTTGCCAAGACTAGCAATTAGTGGTCGCCTTAGCAACACCTCCGTCGTCGCCTCGATGGGAAGCTCACCAAGACTGGCAAGGAGTTGTTGCTTAGCAATACATCCGCTCACAAACAGGGCAACCCGGACAACATCGGCATTGGCCGAGGCGGCCGTACCTAATGCGCAGGATGAAGCAAAGCGACTCCTCCGCGGGCACTAGACGGTGGCTGGGTAGGGCTGCCGCGCCATTCAGCCGCTAGAAGAGCTACTTCGACGATGAGATGGATGGCGACGGCGGTGCCACTGGCCATGTCAGCCACGCGTATGAGGTCACCGTTGACTGCAAGGTAGTTTAGGTTTTTCTTTTTAATTTTAGTCAACAAGACGAAATATCGTCTGTTTTTATGTAAATTATATGTCTGAACGTAAATGAGTTCGGCCCTCTTTGCATGAAATTCGTCCAGTGCGTTCGAATCCCATTTAAAATATATGCGGACACGATTAGATGGAACTGTCCAAATCACATTTAAAATGTATGCGACTGATTAACAACAAACAAGTCCACACATTCATAGTGCACACCCAACCCAAGGCCCCCTCACAAGTCCACCGCACGACCCCCAAGGAAAACAACTCTAATCAAGAGGGCGACTGAGCCACATCGCCTTTCCCAAGACACGCCTCACGCACGCACAGCTAGCACTGCCATACTCTACTCTGCCACCCTCCTCCGCCCCTCTATTCTATTTTGTTCCCTTCCGCCAAGCCAAGCCCAGCCCAGCCAAGAAGAAGAGAAGAGAAGACAACTCGCTCCCTCGCTCGCGCTCCCATCCCGACGCCGCCCGCCGCCTCCAGCGAACGAGGCACCGCGTCCCCCACCTCGATCCGATCCATGGCTTCCGCTGCGGCGTCGCGCCCCCCGGCCCCGCCGCCGCCGCCTCCCCCGCCCCCGCCGTCGGCCGCGATGCAGTGGCTCGGCCCGCGCGTCTCCTTCAGCCTCGAGGACGCCGGCGGATGCACGGCTGCGGGGGGTGGGGCAGCGGGGAAGGCGAGCAACGACTTCGAGTTCCTGCTCGCCGGCTGCTCGGCCGTCTCCACCATGCTGCCCGCCGACGAGCTCTTCTCCGGGGGCAAGCTCGTGCCGCTCCGCCTCCCGTCTTCGAGCGGCTGTTCGTCGGAGGTGGTGACCACGCGGCCTCCGCCGGCGCCGGCGGCGACAACGCAGCAGCAGCAGCAGCCGGAGACGCCGAGGGCGGAGGAGGAAACGAAGGATGCGGTGGTGGAGGCGGAGCAGGCGGCGGAGGAGCCCAAGGTTCCGGCCAGGAGGTGGAGGGACCTGCTCCGGAGGCGGAAGCAGCAGGCGTCGTCCTCCTCCTCCTCGTCCACGGAGACCAAGCAGCCGCTCCGCCGCCTCCTCCGCCGCGGGCCGAAGCCGCCCGAGCAGGAGCCGTCCCTCAGCCTCCCGCTCCTCCGCGACCCCAACGAGCCCGACAAGCCCGCGCCGGCACCCGCATCGGCCCCGACTCCATCGCCGACCCCGCCGCCTCCCGTCAGCACATCGCAGCACCAGCTCCCGCCAAAGATCCGGCTCACGGCGGCGCAGGTTGCCGCGCCGCCACCCCCGCCACCCCCTCCTCCACCTCCTCCCTCCGCCGTGGCCGCCGACAGCCCGCGCCTGAACGCGGCCGGCAAGGTGGTGTTCAACGGGCTGGGCCGCAGCTCGAGCAGCCCGAGCAGCCTGGCGGGCGGGCGGCGCCACCGGTCCGGGTCCGGCGGCAGCGGCATGGAGCGGTCCTACTCGGCGCACGTGCGCGTGACGCCGGTGCTGAACGTGCCCGTCTGCCGCAAGTCCGTGTCCGTGTTCGGCATCGACCGGCTCTTCTCCCCGTCGTCCGCGTCCACCGCCGCCGCCGCCCACGCGGCCGCGAAGAAGCAGGGGAAGGTGGCGAAGAAGGAGGCGACCGCACCACCACCACCACCATCCTCCTCGCACTAACGTCCGTGTCTGTCCATCTCGGCATCATTATCAGGGAACATACTACTCCTACATAGCAGCAGCAGACACCACCACCACACCGCCATTGATGAGCTTGGGACGAGCCGTTTTAATCCTACTGTTTTTGGCTGACGACGCTTAATTAGGTGTTTTTGTTGGAAAATTAAGCTTAGCTCCAAGAGTACGCTTGAGTAATCAGCTGCGTGAGGACAAGTAACTTGAATTTGGGATGTAAATACAGGCGAGGTAGTAGTGATCCGGCGAGTGAGTTCTTCTTTTTGCTAGTGCGTGAGAAAGTACTGATGGTGGTTGTGATGAGACCCGTTGATGATGATGATGATGAGGTTATGTTTCAGAGACGGCGTACGCATCGGAATTCGGGGCTTTTCCCATTGCGTCGTGTACTCTCCGTTGCCTGCCTGTTTGTTTGTCTGGTGCTGAGAAAGCGGAAACTGAAAAGTTGAGTTCTGGTACGTACGCTTCCGCTGGGGTTTGAGCAAAGTACGAGGCACGCGTTGCTCCTTTCCAGGCCGGCCGCGCGTGACAAGAACCACACGTACGATCTTCTAAACTAGTCGCACCGTACCGTGTGGCGGATGGCGACGGCGGCGGGGCGGCGGCGGCCGGAGAAGATGGATGGATGAAGACCATGCGGCCGGAGAGGATGGAGTGAAGGCGAAGCGATGGAAGTGAGTCGGGGAGGAGACCGGTCGTGGTGCGCCGTGGCCCCCCGGCGATGGATCCACCTGCACTGCACTTGCGTTAGTGGTGGTGGTCCAGATCGATCTCCGCTCCGCTCTGCGCTCTGGCGCTGGTGGCTGGTCATAGTGGCATGTGCCATGGGCCTCTCGCTAGCCGGGTCGATATCGTCGTCGCCATGCAATCGATTGATTGATGAGTAAAGCTGCTCGTTGGCGCCATTACTGCAACAATACTTCATCGACTCATAGTAGTAGTTGCAATGATTCATCGGCTCATCATCACGCAACCAACGCCGATCGGCCGGAACCGGTGTTGGTGTGGGACAAGAACATTCAAACAAGTTAACTAAATTAAACTAAATTAAAAGGTTATCTGAGTCTTCTATCTCATGTTTGTTTGGGATATACTCCTACCACGGCGTAGTCGGCGAGTACAACGTGCCGAGGAGCCACATGCATGGGGCCGGTGCCAGTGTCGGGCTGGACTGGCATGCAGACGTGATGCATGTGCCGCCATGGCCTATGGAGTCGTCGATCTGGCTGTCAACAGCCTCCCAATTGGCCGAGCCATCTTCATCCTCCTCCGCCGCGCTCCTCATTGATTCCTGCCTTTCCATTCCATGTGCCGCTGCTTCAGCCAATTTCTGCCGAGCCAGCACTCGGGCCTCGTCGGTGAAATGAATTTCAACGGGCCGGAACACACGCGTACGGCGGCGGCACCGGCGCCGGCCGGCACGGGCGGACGAACGGATGGGATCGGTCCGCGCCGTGCTTCATGCCATGCATGCATGCCGTCCGCCTGTCATGTGTCATGTCTCGGCTCAGCACTCGGCGGCAGTACTCGTCCGGTATGTTTGTCATCGAAACCTACCCACCTGATCTGACGGAGCAGCGGCCACCGGCAGTTGGACCTGGATCCAAACATTCAACCGGATGTACTGCGTGCAAGGCTGACTGGCCGCCAGCAACAGCTCAACATGATGCTGTAGTACATGCTGCCGCCTCCCATGTCCGTTTCTTTCTTTCAACAGCACACGCGCACATGCATCATCGATCAGATCAAACACCACGTAGTAGGAGTACGACGTTTGTAACACTGTGATGACCCCGACTTTCTCAATGCGTACGGTCGGAGGTACTGTGGCATCCAAAGACAAGGGGTCCAAAGGGCACGTTTAGTTGCTCGCATAAGGCATTAGAGCATCTTCAATAGATGGTCCAAATATAAAAATAACTAACTTTTGGACATTTTAAGACAAAAAACACTGCTCCAACAGACGGTCTATATGCAAAAAAAATTGAACCGCGGCCTCCTCGTGATGTAAAATGCAACACCTAGCGATGCAAATATACATCACGAGATGCATCTCGTCCAAAACCAGCCGCCGCCCGCGAACGCCCAACCACCACTTCATTTCCGTTCCCGCCCGCGCCCGTCCGCCCGCCCGAAGAACAGCCGACCGGAATCCGCCGCCACGACCGCCCAAAACCTCGCCGTCGGCGCCGCCACCACCCCACATCCCCTCCGCCGCCCTCCGCCGCCGCCGCCCTCCGCCTCCGTCGCCTCCCCGCCGCCACCCAGACGCCGCCGAATCGGGTGGCAGCCGGCGCGGGATTCGGCCCCTCCGGCGGTCCGGCTGCCGCGGTAGGCCTCCGCCGGGTCTTTAGGCTGCCGCCGACCTCCTCCCGTCGGCCGTGAGCCTGTCCACGGCCGTTGCGCCGGCCGCACGACCGCCTCCCCGCCGCCCTCCGCCCGGCTGCCGAACTAGTCTTCGCCGCCCGCCGAGCTCCTTTTGGCCGGCCTCCGACCTCTCATCTCTTATCACCGCCGCCGTTCGGAGCCGACCGCAGCCGTCCGCAGCCGTCAGCAGCCGCCAATCCAACCGGCGGCCATCTTCCTCCACCGCGCGCACAAGGTGTTCGACGGAATTTCCCAAGGTAAAAAAATGACAAAACTTGATGATTTAACTTGGGATTGGATAGTATGTTTGACGGTAGTTGTGTGCATTGTAGATGAGCTCGGTTGACTCCTCTTTCGTGGATGATTCATCGTCGGACGAGGAACTTGATTTGCATGAAGAAGAGGAGATTGCTATGCTAGTGGCCGTGCACAAGAGGAAGAAACCGAAGCACTGTGGTTCCGTTTATGGTCGTGCGTTCATTCGGAGAGAACGGATTGATGCGCACAAATGGTTGGTGCACAACTACTTTGCATCGTCACCTGTTTTTTCGGAAAATTACTTTCGACGCCGTTTCAGAATGTTGAAAGACTTGTTCTTTCGCATTTGCAATGAAGTGAAGCAGCATAACCCAGTGTTCGAGCAGAGAAGGAGTTGTGCCGGGTTGCTTGGCCATAGCATTGAGCAGAAGGTCACTGCCGCTTTGCGCATTATGGCATATGGTGTTCCGGCAGATTACATTGATGACAACTTGGCGATGGCAGAGAGCACTTCTATCTTTTATGTCAAACAATTTGCAATAACTATGGTAGAAGTGTTCGGTCCACAGTATTTGAGAGCACCCAATGCTCAGGACACTCAGAGGCTTTTGGAGATGAACAAAGCTCGAGGGTTTCCAGGTATTGTAAGTGCATCTAGTGCCCCCTAGTGATTTTGGTGCATTGAAGACTTATAGGTTAAGAGACTGATGCGTTTGTGAGTGTACACAGGTCTATAAGTCTATGAGGAGTTTGATATTTACAGAGAAAGTCGACCCCTAAAAATGAAGTTCTTCGACTGAAGACTTTGGATTTCTGAAGACTTTAAAAGTGAAGAAATTGGTGTGACCTTGAAGACTTGGTAATCATTCGAGGAACATGAATCATGAAGACTCTTGTTTTTACTATTTCATTTTCTCTTTGTTGAGTCATAGGAAACACCGTACTGTTAAAGGGGGTCGAGGAAATACTAAGGAAAACTTTACATGTGATGCTCAACTCAAAATCCTACACCTACCAATCCTTTCGAGTGAAGCCATTGAAAACCTCGCACAGTTCAGTCATATTCTTCAGTGACAGAGATGAAGTTCTTCTGATCTCTGAGGAATTTGTTCTGACTGAGGAGTTAGGAATTCGCCAGTGCGGATTGCCTACAAAGTGAGGAACATGATAGCCCTGAGGTATTTGAGAGTCAAATATTCCGACCGTTGCTGTGTCACGCGCCAGCTGTCCCAAAATATCTACCCACCTAACGGCCATATTATTGAAGGGCATTTATGTCTTATCATGTCGGGTTGCTCCCTAGGCTATAAATAGCCGCCCCTCTACAACCACTAGTTGGTTGGCTGCTCCGAGAGAAACTAACACTTGTCATTTGAGAGAAACCCATCCTCCAAGGACTTTGAGTGAAAATCATCAAGTGAGGAAATCCCAAACCCAAACCTACAAGCCCCAAAGTGATTGAGCATCACTGAAGAGATTGATCCTGCGTGGATCCGATGCTTATTTCCTTTGAAGACTATGCTTCTTCCGGACGGTTAGGCGTCAAGGTCTAGAGCATCCAAGAGGAATTGTGGATCGCCGAGTGACCGAGTTTGTGAAGGTTGGGAAGTCACTTGAAGACTTACCACGAGTGATTGGGCGAGGTTTGTGTGACCTTAGCTCAAGGAGAATACGGTGAGGACTGTGTCGTGGTTCTAAGTCTGACAGTAGAATAGGGGTAGTATGACGGAGCATGATCTATCGAGATGCATATGGGTTACACGGTGGTTTTAGCGAGTTCGGGCCTCTCACGGTGGAGATAACAACCCTACGTCTCGTGCTCCGGAGAGGCTTTGTTTTATCTGAGTATATATCCGAAGATTACAATGTGTGTGAGAGAGAGGAACGGATCCCCATGCCTGAGCTAAGTCCTGAGACTAATGGTGAAAAGAGAGAGAGGTGGAAGCAGAGCCCCCTTGTCTAGTGGTGGGGGGTGGCTTATATAGAGTGCGCCACCCCCTCACCTCCTATGTTACAAAGTGGGGTATGAATGCCATAATGCCAGCCCACTATTAAGCCCTCACTATTAGAAAGATGCCGACTGCCTTGCTGCCTGCTGGTCTTCGTATATCCGAGTGAGTCGTACGGTCGAGTGGTGAGCCGTCATCCGAGTGGATGGTATGTTGCTTGGTCGAGTGGATAGTATGCTGCTTGTCCGAGTGGATAGAGTGTCTGTATGAAATTGATCTGGACCCACATGTTGTGTGGGCCCCATGCTTCATGATATTTCGACCCTTCGTGGGCCTACCTGTTATGTATATCCCCAACATTAGCCCCCGAATCGATTGCGATTTTGCAGAACGAGTTGGTGTAAGACACAG